TGTTTTTATTAGAATAATAAATTTTCTCAATATCTAATATGAATTTAATAAATAACATTATTAATAAATAATCGTAGTGAATATAAATACGATGGATAATTCATCGAGTTTTCAACGGTAAGGAGAAATTTAATTGTTTCATTTTGGAGTAAATTATTTTATATACATAATAACGTAAAAACTTTTTCCAATAGAATCACTCGCTCTCAGGGAAAAAAGCATCTCGAGGAAACATTAGAAGCCGAAGTATCTGACGATGACCACGTGTCGGATAGTGACGACGACGAATATTTTCCACCGAATGAAGCTGCAGCTTCAGATTGTGATGATACAGGTAATTAACATTTCTTTTTTTTATTATGTACGTCAATAATTATGATGTGTATTATGTTTTATAAATTATCTTTATTTTTCGGAATAGCTGATGAAATTGCATTCAATGAAGATGATGAAGAAAGTGAAAATGGAGAAGATGGAGATGAAGATGAAGATGAAGAAAGTGATGTAGCAGCGACGGGGTTAGGAATGAAAGCAAAAGATGGTACGCAGTGGGCTGCGACACCATCAAGTGAGCATCAAGTTGAAAGGCGTAACATTGTACGAGAGAGATGTGGGCCTCATAGAAATACCAGCATGCTGTCCGTTCTCGATACCTTTAAATTATTTTTTACTCCAGAAATGGCAGATATCATTATACGCCATACTAATAAAAAAGCAATTTCAACATATACAGCGTATAATGAAAAAAATTCGGACAAAAAACAATTAGTTTGGAAGAATCTTGAGCTGCAGGAATTTTATGCTTTCTTGGCTATTTTGATAACCTCTGGCGCCAACAACTCAAATACTGACAATGCAAAGGATATGTGGCAGACGTATTCATATCCATTATATCGTGCAGCAATGAGCATCAATCGCTTCTGGAACATCATTCGCTTTATTCGATTTGATGATGCCAATACTCGAGCTGAGCGTATGGAGACTGATAAAGCTGCTCCAATACGAGACATTTGGACAATGCTTAATAGCAATTTAGCAAAACACTATAAGCCAACAGAATACCTGACGATCGACGAGCAACTTTATCCATACCGTGGTCGAACTAGATTCACCCAGTATATACCATCGAAGCCAGCAAAGTATGGAATCAAAGTATGGTGGATATGTGATGCTGAGAATTCGTATCCACTTACTGGACAGCTTTACACTGGGAAATCGAGTGAGGGTCGTGAAAAGAACGTTGGTGAGAGAGTTGTCAAAGACTTGGTGGCACCGTATAAAGGATCAGGTAGAAATATTACTATGGATAATTATTTTACTACTCTTCCATTGGCAAAATCTTTACTATCGTGGAACTTGACGATTGTTGGCACTTTGAAGAAAAATAAGGCATATATTCCACCAGCAATGGCTGCATCGAAAACGCGAGAGGAATTATCTACTGTGTTTGGTTTTCATGAAAAAATAACCATGTGCAGTTATGTGCCAAAAATAAAAAAGGTAGTAATTATGCTATCATCAATGCATAATGAAGCAAAAATTAGTGATAAGGCAAAGAAAAAACCCGAAATCATTGAATTTTATAACTGGTCAAAAGCTGGAGTGGACACTATGGATAAAATGCTTGGTAGATATACTACAAAAAGATCTACTCAA